TTGGAGATCCAAGAGCCAGTGTACCCAGGGGTCTGAGTAGGACCATCCAGATTACAACTCCTCAGATCCATAAGAGAGACAGGGGGCAGACTCAGTGAGCACCAAAGCCCCACTGAAGCAAGTCTTGCCCCATAAGGGTGTTTCCAGCACAGAAGTTCTCCCATCATAGACACAGCTGATCCTCACAGCCAATTGGCCTAGAGGTCAATTTCTCCCAGTGATACCAACAACAATCAAGGTTTAACTACAGCCAAAACAGGTTTGGCTCAGTGGATAGAGCATCACTCTATGGACTGAAAGGTCCCAGATTCTATTCTGGTCAAGGACATGTACATTGGTTGCGGGCACATCCCCAGTGGGGGTGTGTACAGGAGGCGATTAGTGGATGTTTCTCTTTCATTGATGTTTCTAGCTTTCTATCCCTCTCCTTTCCTCTCTGTAAAAAAAAAATCAATTATATATATATATATATATATATATATATATATATATATATATATTATTTTTTTTTTCCTTAACTACAACAAGAATGTGCACACAGCCCACAAAGGGGTTCACCAAGAGTGTCCACCTCAGGTAACTGGCAGGCTGAGCCAATGGGCCCTAGAGGACACCTACACACAAAGCCACTCTATCAACACAGGGAAGCAGTCAAAATGCAAAGGCAAAAAAACAGGTCACAAATGACAGAAATGGAAGAAAATAAACAACTGGATATAGAGTTCAAAACCACAGTTAAAAGGTTTTTCAAGAATCTTCTAGATGCCAAAACTGGTTTGGCTCAATGGATAAAGTGTTGGCCTGTGGACTGAAGGATTCCAAGTTCATTTCTGGTCAAGGGCATGTACCTTGGTTGCAGGCACATCGCCAGTGGGAGGTATGCAGGAGGCAGCTGATTGATGTTTTTAGCTCTCTATCCTTCTCCCTTCCTCTCTGTAAAAAAATCAATAACATATTTTTTTAAAAGAATCTTCTAGAAACCGCCAATAAATTTAGTGAGACCCTCTCTGAAAAAGGACCAACTAGAAATTAAACATACACTGACTGAAATAAAGAATAATATACAGAGATCCAACATCAGACTAGAGGATCACAAGAATCAAGTAAAATATTTGAAATATGAAGAAGCAAAAAACACCTAACTGGGAAAGAAAAAAGAAAAAAGAATCCAAAAATATTAAGATAGTCTAAGGACCTCTGGGACAACTTTAAGTGTAGCAACATCCGAATTATGGGGGTGCCAGAAGAAGAGAGAGAGCAAGATACTGAAAACCTACTTGAAGAAATAATGACTGAAAATTTCCCCTACCTGGTGAAAGAAATAGACTTACAAGTCCAGGAAGCACACAGAACCCCAAACAAAAGGAATCCAAAGAGGACCACACCAAGATACATCATAATTAAAATGCCAAGAGCAAAAGATAAAGAGAGAATCTTACAAGCAGCAAGAGAAAAGCAGTTAGTTACATACAAAGGAGCACCCATACGATTGTCAGCTGATTTATCAACAGAAACTATGCAGGCCAGAAGGGAGTGGCAAGAAATATTCAAAGTGATGAATAGCAAGAACCTACAACCAAGATTACTCTACCCAGCAAAGCTATCATTCAGAATTGAAGATCAGATAAAGAGCTTCACAGATAAGAAAAAGCTAAAGGAGTTTATAACTGCCAACCCAGTATTATATGAATTGCTGTAAGTGTATTCTGTAAGAAGAGAAAGAAGAAGAAAAAAGTAAAGATGAAAATTATGAACAACAAATACATATCTATCAACAAGTGAATCTAAAAGTTAAGTGAATAAAAAATCTGATGAACAGAATAATCTGGTGAATATAATAGAATCAGAGGTATAGAAAGGGAGTGGACTGACAATTCTCAGGGGAATTGGGTGTGGAGGGTTTGGGAAGAGTCTGGACTAAAATCGTACACCTATGGATGAGGACAGTGGCAGGGGGATGGGGGACGGGTAAGGGCAGAGGGTGGGATGGGAACCAGGTGGAGGGGAGCTATGTGGGGGGGGGGGGGGGGGAAAGAGGAACAACTGTAATAATCTGACAATAAAGATTTATTAAACATTAAAAAGCCCCATAAAGAGCTGTGGCCTGTGTTGTTCAGTGGTTAGAACGTCTGCTGAACACCACAGAGTCTTGTATTCGATTCTGGTCAAGGGGCAGGTACCTGGGTTTTCAGGTTTGATCCCCAACCACCATATAGGATGTAACCAATTAATGTGTCTCTATCAGTTTCTCTTTCTCTCTCTCTCTCTCTCTCTCTCTCTCTCTCTCTCTCTCTCTCTCTCTCTCTCCCCTTCCTTCCTTTCCACTCTTTCTAAAAAAAATAATAATAATAATGAAAAATTACTCTTGAATGAGGATTAACATCAAAACAAGTACCATAAAGTGGGAAGCCAGCCACCACATGGGAAATGATGATTGCATCTGCATTTATTATACTTATGAAACTTCTATAAATGAATAAGACAGATTACAGGAAGAGTGAGCAGAGAGTGAGTCAGCTTCTGGTGGATATGTACCATTTCAGGAGTCAAAATCTGAGAAGTAGCAAAAAGTGTTTAAAGACTTGTTTTAACTCAGGGGAATAAAAAGTGAGTGAGAGAATGGGGAAGGACATGGAAGCAATATATTAAAAAGGAAGAAATTAAGGATTTCACTGGATAAATTAGTTTTTAGAAAGCAAAAATAAACCAAAAGAAGGTAGTAGTAGGGATTTTTTTTTTTAAATAAAAGGTAAGAAATTGAAGAAAAATAGCAAAGAACTTTTATATGTTTTAACTCATATAAATTCACAATAATCCAAAGAAGTAGGAACTAGTGTGATATTATTCCTATTTTATAGATGGGAAACTGAGGAAGAAGGGTTTGTTTGTTTTTTATTCTCCTGGGATTATATAGCTCATAATTAGTATAGCTGGGATTTAACCCAGGAAGTTTGACCCTTAACTAGTAAGCAATACCATATCTTTAAACCAAAAATAGTAGAAAGAATAAATGAAACCTTTTTCTTTTTTAAGACAAAGTACTCACAAATGGGAAATCCTTGAGATAAGCCAGGAATAAGAAAGAAAATACAGCAGCAATTAGAAATTAAGAAAACAGTAAGTGTGCCTGCATGACAATAAACTTAAAGATCGGCTTCTTAACAAAGCATGACACAAATCAAAATAGAAATTTTTAAAATATGGCTTAATATATTAATCAGTTTTTGTTGTCTTCTTGATATTTTGACTAAGAAATTGTTTCTATCCAGATATTCTTCCTAACGTTTCACTTCTCAAATATTTAGATTTAGGTCCAGCTGGGCAGGGGTCGGCTGTCTTACCAAGAGGTTTAACAGAGCACATAGCAGGTGCTCTGTAAATACTGGCCAAATGAATTAGTGAGAGGCTGCAGTGGGCTCCCTTTTCATTATGTCCATCATTCACTGTCGGTCTGGCCCTGCCCCTGCCTGCCGGTGTTTGCTCCGAGGCACTGGTGTGAGTGTGGGCAAAGCCCACTCCATCTCTGTGTCTGGATTTCATTTTATGTTTAGGTTTTGTGCTGTGGCCAACCTCACTGTCTTCAGCAAGCATATCAAACCTTCTAGTTGGTGATTATCTGTGCTCCTTAAAGTGGAGTCATAAATATTTTTTAAAATATATTTTATTGATTTTTTACAGAGAGGAAAGGAGAGGGATAGAGAGTTAGAAACATTGATGAGAGAGGAACATCAACCAGCTGCCTCCTGCACACTCTCCGCTGGGGATGTGCCCACAACCAGGGTACAGGCCCTTGACCGGAATCGAACCCGGGACCTTTCAGTCCACAGGCTAACGCTCTATCCACTGAGCCAAACCGGCTTCATTGAGTCATAAATATTTTTGTTAGTAACGACAGAATGGCATGACAACCAAGATAAATACCGAACTGGTGACAGCATCGATTTAGACAATCATCCATCACAAGACCATTGGGAGACTGGCCCTGCGCTCCTGCGTCCCCGTCCCTGTCCTGTCGCCATCAGCACCTCAGTTACACCATGAACAGCACCGCCACGGGGTCTGGCAGCAGAAATAACCTGCACAGGCCCGGGTCATCTGTCCGGCTCAGCGCCGTCCTCCGTGAGTGAGGGACGCTGCAGGGAGTTCTATCATTCTCCGGCGCCGCCCGCCTTCTCCTTCTGTCTGAGGGGAACTTCGCAATGCGATGGCCGTCACACTCTGCCCGCCACAGGACGAGTCCGGTTCCTAGACCGATGCCAGAACCCGGGCATTCGGTGTCCGTGGAAAGAATGAACGGACATCTGGTGGGTTTTGAGCGGGGTTCAGTGAGGGCTTCACATCCACAGCCTCGTTTCTTTATCTCAGCGCCCCTGGAGGAAGGTCCTCCTTCACCCAGGGGAGAAAACTGAGGCTTCTGGAAGCTGCATACATAGACCCCTCCACCAGGAGCTTAGCTGGCCATCTGTTCCTCCCTTCCGAGAACTGAATTCAGGATCAGCTCCGGGAGGTGATCTGTGGGAGAGTAAGGAGTGAAGCTGAGCTGACCCAAGAGTCCAGGCCTGAGGGGGCTTTCTCAGGGGCCCAGAAGGAGGAAACCCAACCTCTGACCCATAAGAGATTAGGGACCAAAGCGAAGCCCCCAGCACCAGCCTGGAGATGTTGCTATAGCTACCAGGCAAAGGAGGTTGGTACTGACTGTGCACAGATACACACACACACACACACACACACACACACACACACACACACCAGCAAGTGCTCACTCTCCACTGCCCATCCCCCTCCACTCCCTCTACCCCACTCACCCCCTTACTCTCCCACTTCCTTTACTCCACCTCACCCTTACCCCCTAGTTCAATCCAGAAAGACCCAGCCCTGTGATTGGTCAATGGGTCCTTGGTAGCAGCAATGGGAAGGAAAAGGGAGGAAGAGGGAGGAGTGGGGCAGGGTTCGGGAGGGGCTTTATTTACACCAATGCCCAGGCCGGGAGCCTGCTCACCATGGACACTGTGGAGTTCTGCAACGAGGGCAACAGGCTGGAGGAGGTCCCCGCAGGTATGAGCGATTGTGGGGCTGCCTCGCTGGCCCCCTTGGGTCCCTCTGGTGGGGGATTTGATGAGCAAGGGAGGACCACATCCAAGAAAGGAAGCAAGTCCTAGGTGCAGGAGAGACACAGGCCCCAGAGCCAACTGGACATAGATTCGGATTTTAACTCTGTCACCTAAAGCTGCTTAACCTCTCTAAATCCCAGTTTCCTGGGACCCCACGTCCAGGGCTGGGTCCTCGGGGCTCGGGGCTCCAGGACTGCCCTGGTACAGGAGGGACCCACGAGTCCTTCGCTATTCAAGGGTCCTGGGGCCGCCGGGGCCCCTGGGCACGGCGCGTCCTCCTCCTGGCCCTGGCTCTCCTGGCCACCACAGTCCTGTGGACCCTCATCCTGAGCATCCTGCTTTCCAAGGGTAAGTGGTGGGTGCGATGGGAAGACCGTGTCCCAGTCGCCTACCCCTCCATCCCCCCCCCCCCCCGCGCACTTTCTCCCCTCCCCTCCACCCCAGGCGGAACAGCTGGACCCCCACCCTGCCTGTGGCGGCGTGTGGACACACGTGAACAGTGTGTGTGCATCCTGGGCTGTGTGCACTCCCTGAGGGTGCCTGCGCACGCATGGATGTATGTGTGTGGCCTGTGTGTTCGTCTCCCCTGGGCGCCTGGGCGCGTCCTGTGCGCTGTGCCCCTGCCCACCTCTCTTTGCGTCCCAAGCGGGAGTTCCCGCAGCCCTGGGGCGAGGGGGCCCGAGTTCCCGGCCGCCTCCCTCAGGAGTCTCGCTCCGCAGCCTCCAAGCAGCAAGGGGCGTTGTTGGGCGGCCAGGACCTGCTGAGAGCGAACGGTGCGTGCAGACCAGGGGCTCCTGGGTTTGTGAGTAGGTGGGTGGGTGCCCCAAGGCCCCGGGGCCGGCCCCGGAGTGGGGAAGGGTGTCCCCGTGAGGCCCCGGAGGTGACTTGGCGTGTCTGGGTCGGGCGGGGGTCGTTCCAGCCTCGAAGCAGACGGTGATGCTGGGCGAACTGAAGGGAGAAGTAGGAGCCTGTCACAGCTGCTGTGAGCCCGCGGCCGGAGCCTGGGGCGGGCGGAGCCTGGGGCGGGGCGGGCCTGGGGCGGGGCGGAGCCTGGGGCGGGCCGGAGCCTGGGGCGGGCGGAGCCTGGGGCGGGCGGAGCCTGTGGCGGGGCGGGGCCTGTGGCGGGGCGGAGCCTGGGGCGGGGCGGAGCCTGGGGCGGGGCGGAGCCTGGGGCGGGGCGGAGCCTGGGGCGGGCGGAGCCTGGGGCGGGGCGGAGCCTGGGCGGGGCGGAGCCTGGGGCGGGGCGGAGCCTGGGGCGGGCGGAGCCTGGGGCGGGGCGGAGCCTGGGCTGGGCGGAGCCTGGGGCTGGAACGGAGCCTGGGGCGGGCGGAGCCTGGGGCTGGGGGCGGGCCTTGCAGCAGGATTGGCGGTCTCAGGCGTCCCACCCCATCCAGGCCTGGGGACCCAGGAGCAGCTGAAGACGGCGCAGGAGAAGCTGCTGCAGCATGAGAGCGCCCTGAGAGAACTGAGCGAGCGCGGTGAGGGCGGGGCCCCTCACCATCCAGCCCCGACCTTTATTTACATCCTGATTTCTCCGTGGCCCAGACCCTAGCCTGTGATCCTGACCGCTAACCCCGATCGTGTCTCCCATCCTGACCCTGACCCAGGGGCTCTGCCCTTGACTACAACTCTTTTTTTTTTTTTTTTTAATATATTTTATTGGTTTTGTACAGAGAGGAAGGGAGAGAGATAGAGAGTTAGAAACATCGATGAGAGAGAGTCATCGATCAGCTGCCTCTTGCACACCCCCTACTGGGGATATGCCCGCAACCAAGGTACATGCCCTTGACCGGAATCGAACCCGGGACCCTTCAGTCCCCAAGCCGACGCTCTATCCATTGAACCAAACCGGTCTCGGCTTGACTACAACTCTTAACCCCAACCACAGGGGACCATACCTAGCGACAGCAGTCCTTGACTGTGATATTCTTGACCGTAACCTAATCACAACCCACCCCTGACACTAACCCCAGCTGTCACCTGGACTCCCTTGACCTCGCAGTGACCCAGCGCTTGGCCGAGGCGGGAAGGGACCGCGAGGGCATCCGCAGTGAGCTGTTCCGGGCGCTGGAGGCCGCCCGATTTGGAAACAGTGAGCAGGGCCGGGTGGCGGAGGGGATAAGTGGGCCCTACCCAGGGGCCCCTTGGTTCCCTGATCCACCCGGAACCGCCCTTTGACCTTGACCTGCACCTGCGCCCCCGAACCCCTTCCTCTGCTCCACCTGGGAGCAGTCTACCCCCGGCCTTTGCCACCCACAGGTTCCTGCGAGCCCTGCCCCGCGCAGTGGCTGCCCTTCAGGGGCTCCTGCTACCTGTTCTCGGAGCAGCAGGCCACGTGGGTGGCGTCGCAGCTCTTCTGCGCAGAGGCGGGCGCGCACGTGGTGATCGTCGGGGACCTGGAGGAGCAGGTGCGCGGGGGGCGGGCGGAGGCGGAGTTCCCTGGGGGCGGCTCCGGAGGTGCCAGTCTCCGCTTCCATCCTCCATCCAGAGCTTCCTGACCCGGTACACACGAGGCCGCGGCTTCTGGCTGGGCCTGAGGGCTGTGCGCCGCGGCCGCAAGGTGCAGGGCTACCAGTGGGTGGACGGAGTCCCGCTCAGCTTCAGGTGAGGGAAGGGCCAGGCCGGCCCCGGGGCAGTCCTGGGCAGACCTCAGGGGCTCCTTGGGGATGGGCAGTCCAGCCATTGGGAGCCGGCTGAGGGATACATTCTGTGCGTTAGGAAGTTATATCCCCGGTGCATGCTTAAGTTAGACGCTCAGGGTGTCCAGAGAGGTCCGAGCCATAAACAGGCTACAGCCTGAGGGCTGGGCCCCAGGGACACCCTCAGCCTAGACCCCACAACACTCCGCCAAACCGCTGCAGCCACTGGAACCGGGGAGAGCCCAACGACGATCGGGGGCAGGAGGACTGCGTCATGATGCTGCACACGGGACTGTGGAACGACGCCCCTTGCAGCAACGAGAGGGACAACTGGATCTGCGAGAAGAGGAACAACTGCTGAGCCCACCAGTGCCCCCAACACCCGCCGCTGGGATTGCCCACCACCATCGGATCCTCCCCTCCCCGCCCCCCCACCAAGAGCTGCCCACCCACTCAGCGAGGCCAGTGCATGTGCCCTGGGACCCCCTCTCCCACCTGACCACTGGCCTCCCACACGAGCCTAACGTTAGCCTCCACCTCTTCCCAAATCCTGGCTCCTGGGCCCTTTGGTCAGACCCACCTCCCTCCCTAGCCAAGACCCGGTGACCGGGAGCGGAGCTGTCTGGTTTTCTGGCATTCTTTCTTAGACTGGGAGGCCTGCCTCAAAGACGGGTTTTATGAAGCCCTAAGGAGCATCAATAAATGTTTGAGATGTCAATCTTAGCGTCTGGCTCTTCTAAGCTTTATCCCAGAGGCCCTGGTGTGATGCCCGTGTGGCACCCCAACCTCCCCAAGTGACCCCATGCTCTCTGATGCTCCCAAACCCAGCCTGCGCTGGGCCAGAAGGGCTGTGGGGCCCTGGGAGTGAGTCAGTCCTTCACCCACCCCTACCCCACCCAGATGGTTCACTCCACTCCAGCCGGGCACAGGAGCCACATGACCAGTGACTCGTGGAGGAATGCATGCCTGAGTGACAGCCATGATCTGAAGGAGCGCCTGTGTCAGGGAGAGGGACTGTGCTGAACTGCCCGAGGGGTGGCTCCTGTCCCTGGAGATCCCGGCACCTGAGACAAGGCTCGGAGGCAGGTGTAGGTCCCTTACGTCCAGGGGCACTTTGCTTCTGTGGCCACTGGGGGGCCGGGGGGGGGGGCGCGATCAGAAAATCCGTCCCAGGGAACATGGACTTTCAAGGAATGATGAGATTCCAGCACGTGGAGCTGGGAAGGGGAAGCTTTGCAGGTGGGGAGTGTTGGAGGGTGTTGAGTTTGGCTGAACACATTTGGGGGGTGCAGGGTGCCCCCCAAATGCGGGAACTTGTATCTGAATTCACGCTGTACTCCCAGGTTCCTGCCCCTGTCCTGGGGGCTGGGCGCTCTCCGGGATTTCCAATGGGGACAGGTCTAAGGGTGTGACGGGCTAGCAGCCTTTACGGGTGTAGAACCGAGTTCAAGTCCAAAGCTGCTTGAGCCCTCGGATGCCCCTCCCAGAGAGCATCGACTGAGCTGGAAGGAGAGGGAATAACACCCAGGGGAAGCCTTTCCGTGGTGTAACCAGCCAGCCCTCCGACTCTTCTCTGGGCCCTCAGCTACAGCTCAGAGCAAGCACTGGCCAGCCCCAGGAGCCGCCTGACTCCGGACAGACACACACCTGGAGGGTTTTCAGGTGGTCAGCTTGGAAGAGTGTGTGGGTTTCCGAAGGTGGCTGTAACAAATGACCACCACTTGATGGATTGAGACAGCACATTCTGGAGGTCAGAAGCCCAAAATTCGTCTCACTGAGCCAATCAGGGGTCACCAGGCCAGGCTCCCGCCGAAGCTCCAAGGAATCTGTGTCCCTGTCTTCGACTTCCATAGCTGCGTCTCTCACATATTCTGGCTCGTGGCTTCCATCTCAAAGCCAATAGGACAGCATCTTGCTTTAGTGGTCCCCTTCTCTGGGTCAGTATCTCTCTGCTTCCCTTTTTTTTTTTTTTTTTTTTAATATATTTTATTGATTTTTTACAGAGAGGAAGGGAGAGAGATAGAGAGCTAGAAACATCGATGAGAGAGAAACATCGACCAGCTGCCTCTTGCACACCCCCTACTGGGGGTGTGCCCGCAACCAAGGTACATGCCCTTGACCGGAATCGAACCCGGGATCCTTCAGTCCGCAGACCGACGCTCTACCACTGAGCCAAACCGGTTTTGGCTGCTTCCCTCTTATAAGGACACTTGTGATTGCACTTTCAGGCCCAGTCTATAATCCATGATTTCCTTTCGTCCTGCAATGCAATTGTGGCACTAACCAAGTTAGTCTAGACAGCACCCACAGATTAAGGGCGCTGTTCCTAACAAGACTGTCCTAACTACCGTTTGGGGGTACCTGGGCCACCCACACCTCTGACCGATTGATTCTTACCTACCGATACAAATTCAGAGGATCTAGCAATCCCCTTCAAATTAGTTCTGTGATTTGCTAGAATGGCTCAGAACTCAGGAAAGCCCTAGACCTACCGTTTTATTATAAGGAACACAAATTCAGACTAGCCAATGAGGAGAGTGAGGGCTGGAGAGTCTCAAACATAGAGCTTCCATGTTCCCAGACAGATCACCATCCTGGCATCGGTGTCCAGACTTTATATAAGGCTTCGTTATGAAGGTGCTTAAAGGGATCATTGGTCATGTGACTGCACTCCATCTCCACCTCCATCCCTCCCCAGAGGCTGGGTGTCTGAAAGCCCCATCCCTTATGATTGCTCTTTCTGGCACAACCAACCCCCACCCTGAGCATCTCCTGGTTATAAACTCAGGTCTGAGCCAATGGGTCCCCATGAAGATCGAAGACATTCCTATCACTTGGGAAACCCCAAGGGTTTAATGCACCTTGCCAAAAAATGGACAAAAACCAACCAAATTCTTTAACACTTAACACCCCCATCCCCATCTCTAAGTACTTAGTCACATCTGCCAAGTCTCTGTTGCCATATGAAATAAACCAGCAACAAAAGGACAAGCACTATATTGTTCCCCTCACTTGACGTACCTATTGTGGTCAAACTCACAGAAACAAAAGGCAGAATGGTGGGTGCCAGGGCCTGTGGGGAGGGAGGTGTGGGGAGTTACTTCATGAGTATAGAGCTTCAGTTTTTCAAGATAAAAAACTTCTAGATTGGTCGTTCAACAATGTGACTATATTTAACTCGACCAGAGATCGAACCTACAATCTGGGTGTGTTCCCTGGCTGGGAATCAAACCTACAGTCCTTTGGTGTACGTGATGACACTCTAACCACTGAGCAACACAGGCCAGGGCCTGAACTGCCTACTTAAAAATGGTTAAGATGCAAATTTTATATTATGTGAATTTTATCCCACCATATAAAAGTTTTCAATTTTAATGCACCCATTTCAAGCTCCAAGTCAGAGTTCTGAGAAGAGTATACAGCAGTGTAGTCACCATTCCATTCCAGATACAAGTCATTTCCATGATTCCCTCACGTCCCTTCTCACCCCTGCCCCAGGCCACGTGATCCCAAAATCTGCTTGCACCACTGTTGCCTAGACTCGTCTTTCCTCAAATGTCCTTTAAATTGAATCACCGTATGTTGTGACTCTTTCTGTAGGCACAATGTCTGAGATTTACCGTACAGCTGTGTGTGTCCACAGCGTGCTCCTTTCACTGTGGACCCATCTTCCACTGATGTTTGCATTGTTTCCCATGTACATTTCTATGAATTAAACTGCTGTGAACATTCTTGAAGAGATCTTTTTTTATTATTATTATTATTAAATATATTTTGATTTTTTTACAGAGAGGAAGGAAGAGAGATAGAGAGCTAGAAATGTCGACAAGAGAGAAACATCAGCTGCCTCTTGCACACCCCCTACTGGGGATGTGCCCGCAACCAAGGTACATGCCCTTGACCGGAATCGAACCCGGGACCTTTCAGTCCCCAGACCGACGCTCCACCACTGAGCCAAACCGGTTTTGGCCTTGTACAGATCTTTTTATGGCTTTACGTTTTCACTTCTCTTGGGTAAATACCGGCAGTGAGTCAGAGGGCAGATGAGTGTTGAACTTCTAGAAGAAACTGTCAGGCCGTTTTTCCAAAGTGGTTGCATTGGTTTTGGCCCATCAGCAATGTCCCAGGGCTCTGGCTGCTCTGGGAGGGCACTCTTGACCCAGGAGACATTTCAGCAGTTTTAGAGCCAGGTTGGAGGGGGAGGGGAGGCAAGGCAGGGAAGAAAAGAGCAGGAGGGAAGGAAATAAAGCTGGAAGTTGAAGCAGATAATGGGGAAGGTAGGAAGCTGGGAATGATATCCTCCTGACAACATGTTGTTGTGGGAAGACTATGGGACGTGGGGAACAGAGGTGTGTGTGGGGGGTGTTTCTCTGCTCTTTGGAACTATAGTCCCTGAATCACGACTGAGGAGTTGGCAAGAGAAGCTGGAGAGGAGTGAGATCAGGTCTCCTGGGAACAAGAAGCCATTTCATTCATTCATTTATGCAATGAAATCATTTACATTCATTCAATACAATGACTTTCTTATCCACAAACATTTTCCCAGTGCTTATTAGATTACTAGAGGCCTGTTGCACGATATTCATGCAAGAATAGGCCTTCCTGCCGAAACCGGTTTGGCTCAATGGATAGAGCGTTGGCCTGTGGACTGTAAGGTCCCACGTTCGATTCCAGTCAGGGGCATGTACCCAGTGGGGGATGTGCAGGAGGCGGCTGATTGATGTTTCTCTCTCATCGATGTTTCTAGCTCTCTATCCCTCTCTCTTCCTCTCTGTGAAAAATCAATAAAATGTATTTTTTTTTAAAAGAAAGAAAGAATAGGCCTTCCTTCCCTTGGCTTTGAATGAATGGAGTGAGCCAGCAAGTCCTCACTTCTGTCTGGAACACCACTCTAGTGCCTCCCTCTGCCGCCCCTACCCCCTTCCCCTCATAGCAGGCTTCACTCCACTCCACATCTGCATATGCAAATTAACCTCCATCTTTGTTGGGTTAATTTGCATACTCACTCTGATTGGCTGTGGGCATAGCGGAGTGATGGTTGATTTGCATGTTTCTCTTTTATTAGGTAAGATTATACATCAGACATGGCATGCAATGGGAGAACAAGAGGTCAGGATCTTTGGACACGGAGGATTCTGAAAATACTCAGGCTGAGTGGGAACAACCATTCACAAAATGACTCTAGAAACCCATTTATATGAAGTTCTGGAACAGGCACAGGGATGCTAGCTAGAAAAAATGTGTCACCAGGGTTGTCTGGGAGCAGAGGCAGGGATTTCCCAGGAAAGGCCATGAAAGAACTTTCCGGAGCGATGGAAATGCTCTGCAATCTTGATAGACATTTGAATTACAAGGTGAATG